GAAATGTTAACCCCACAAAAATTGTTGAACATTTTTTTGTAATGTTTTATATGTTACATTGAAGCCCATAATTTTCCAAACAAAATTATATATAAAACAGTATACTTTACATTGTTTTTAAGTTTCTAAGATACATTTTAATAAAACCCTGCGATTGCGCAATAAATGGGCGAACATTAAGACCAAAACTTGAGACACTTGGAGGGTTACGTTTGTTGAGGTCCCTTGCTTGGCTTCATGGCTTAGAATCTTCTAAAAGCTCCTGCTATTTGATCACTTTTAGGTAAACTAGTAGCTAGGCGTTAATCTTAAAATGACAGAATACGTTTGATAAACTTCGATAAATATCTAGGCTAATCAGCTTTCCAACCCTGATTGGGCTTGTATTTATCTTCTTCTATAAGACTGATCTAGACATGGGTTATCTTGTTGTTAAGACAGTTACCTCAGGAGGTAGGACTACCGAGTTTTTCTTTTGGACTAGCCTACTAAGAAGGGTTAAGTTAAGTTGTTCTCGTAACAGCTTTACCCATTTCTTTTCCTCTCCTAGCCTTCTATAATTTTTAAACAGATGATTAGCAGAATCAGCATCGCCTGTGGCAATGAAATTACTTTATAGGTTAGGTACTACGGTATAGATACTTTATAGGAAATATTATTGGCTCAGTCCTGGTATATTCCACTTTCTTGGAACATTATGAATCTGCTGGTTGTTTACAGGTCAGTTTTATGAACCGATAATAACTGTTAGGACAGAATCTACGTGGTATGAGGTGTACTAAAAAAATTAGAAAGCACACTAGATTAAATTGTCTAGAGAATGGTGTACCTATCTTTTAAGACACAGGCACGGGCAGAAAAGGGTCTTGTTTCAATGTACATGCTATGGTTCACATCGTTACCACATAGGATAGCATGCAATTTCTGGAAACTCATGATTGTGTGCAAGGAGGGTTGGATAACCAAATATCTGATAGTCACAAATAGCCTACTTTATATTTTCCAAGCTTTGTGGATTTTTGTGTGTGGATAAATGACTTAAATAGCCTACAGTAGAACCCGGTTAACCAGGGTTTCAGTTAAACCAAATTCGGTTCCATAAAATAATACAAATCAAATCAAAATAGCATTTATTCCGCCAAAATATTTACAAATTACATCGTGTTAGTACCATACAGAAATGTTTACAATATTGTTTGGTATTTTAATAATATAAAATTTAATATAAACATAAACATATAAAAAAGCTTTTTAAATTAGCAAAATATCTTCCACAAAGAAGGAATACCTCTGTGTGTGGAAGAGAGTCGTATTGTATATATTTATAAATTTTTTTCAGGGATCAAATATAAGTTAATAAATACGTAATGCAAAATACTTTAGTAGGCTAACTTCAGTTATTTAGTTAAAAGTAATTTTTACTAACCCATTGTAACATTTCTGTAGCTGAAATAAAATACTGTATTATATAGGTAGACATTGTTTTAAATTCATTTTTCCAATACACCGTGGTACTATTTTAGGATATGACAGGTTAACCGAAAAATTGGTTATCCGAAACAGCTCTCCCCCCTTTATTTCGATTAACTGGGGTTCTACTGTAGTGAAACTTTTAATTCAGGGAGTTAGCCCTTAGAGTGCCAGGCGAGAAATAAAAGTAACGCTCAAAAAATGCCGATGATTTTTCCCGAAGGTCGCGCTAAAATTGCCAAGTGCGATCTGGCGATTTTTAGGTTAAAATTTCGTAAAAATCGAATTTTTGATATTTCGACCAACGAAAATCGATGTATCGCATCTAGTAACTTTCGACTCAATGTTAATATATGGGTTAAAAGAATCCGAGTATCCATTCGGTTGTTATGACAACTGTTCGATCATTACGAAACGTCCGGTCAGCCGGACGTTGGCACTTTTGGCTCGTTCTAAAAACGTCCGGTTCCCCGGACGTTGGCACTCAAAGGGTTAATCTAAAAAAAAAATTCAACCTTGATCCTTCGGTGATAAAAAAAATTTCAATATATGTTACTAGGCTAACTAATAATTCTTTTACAGATTCAAAATGGCAGCGGCAGCACCACAAACTGAACAAAGAGACAGGAAACGAAAAGAAAGCATTCTTGATCTTTCCAAGTATCTGGAGAAAGTCATCCGTGTAAAGTTTTCTGGCGGACGGGAGGTAGCAGGAGTGCTGAAAGGTTTTGACCCCTTACTGAATCTTGTCCTGGATAACACCACAGAGTTCCTCAGAGATCCTGATGACCCCTACAAACTCACCAGGGACACAAGGTTGTTAGGGCTTGTAGTCTGCCGAGGAACATCAGTTGTGCTCATTTGTCCTGTGGATGGAATGGAAAGTATCCCAAATCCTTTTGTCCAACCGGATTAAAATATGAACTTTATATTTTCTTTTATAAGTTTTTCACATATATCTCAGTTCAGAGAGAATTCCTCCTTTGTTGTATATAATTTAATTATGTATTTATTACAATAAAGAGTTTGGTTAACTGTGTGTTTTTATTTTAAGAAAAATAACTGTGTAAATGAGTTGCTGTTGGAAATCTTAAAACAAGCAAATCCCAAAATACTGTTTGAATTAAACTTGCAATTTAATGTTATTGTTGAAGTACTTGATAGTAGAACCTTGATAACAAGATTCTCATAGGTAGCCTATTATAAAATAAGACTTGTTATCAAGGTTCACTTCTTATCGATGTTTGCAATAACATGTGATTAGGGGTAAAATAATTTCAAGGGGATTTAAAAATGACCGTTGTTATCAAGGGTGACTTGTTATCGAAGGTCTTGTTATCGAGTGTATTAAAATTTAAGATGAGTAAGGTTTTTTCAGAAAATAAATGCCCTGGTTTCTGGCAATTTCTACTATTGAGACTGCATGCATACAGATAGACCAGTGGTTCAAGGGTCTGTTCTAACATACAGACTGACTAGAGCTACTAATGAGCAGGGACACAAAATGGAGGAGGAGCTTACAGCAGCTTATGGTGGAGAAGCTTGTCTATTCACGTGTTTGTCAACAACATAGGTTGAATGGCTTATCATTAATTAAAGACTTTTTAGATAGCAGGAATCTCCTTCTAAATTCAGAAAAATCCAATTTTGTATCATTTTCAACAAAACAAACTAGGAACAAAATAAAGCCTACAATATTTGTTGATAATCATGTATTGACCCAATTAGACCACTCAAAATTTTTAGGTTTAATCACAGATGAAAATCTGGCATGGGATAATCATATTAACAATCTTATTAGAATAACATCCGGTAGCCTTTACGCATTGAGAAAAATTGCTACATCATGTAATATTGAAACGTTAAAAGCAGTCTATTATGCATTAATTCATTCACATGTTGCCTATGGCGTCTGTGTCTATGGATCTACCACAAAAAAAAAAAACATGGACAGAGTTTTGCTCTAGCAAAAAAGGGCATTGAGGATAATGTTGAATTTAAGATCAACGACCTCGGTAAGGCAAGTCTTTTGTATACATAAAATATTCACAGTCTACAGTCTTTTCATTTATGAGTCAATTAAATTTGTTTTGATGAATGATAATTGCAATAGGTAACCATATTCATAAATATAACACAAGATCACACCGATTGGTAGAGCAGCACAATTTGGAATTTTATAAGAAAAAAACTAGTTATTTAGGAAACAAATTTTTACATCACCTTCCAGAAACTTTAAAATTGGAGAAAATCCAAATACATTTTTAAAATCATTAAAAAGATTTTTAATTGAATTAGCATTTTACTCCATTCAAGAATTTTTTTTGTAATTGAAAATCACTAAAAAACTAAAACATTTAAGTATCTCCATTGATTTGTTCTATGTTTGTTTTCTGTTACTTTAATTTGCATTTGATGTATTAATCAGCTGGACTTATTATTATTTAAAGAAAGGAAAATCAATTTGAAGGTCATTAATTGTTATATATATTCTGTTTTGACTACTGTAAAATCCCTAGTTTTAGCGATCTATGTTGACACAATTTCATGTACCAATCTGTGCATTTTATGAAATAAAGAAGTTGATTGATTGATTGATTGATTGAATGATTCAGTAGCATATACTTACGCTCATAAGTTTCAACTTCTGAAAGTTATTTTTAAGTTTTTATTAGTGTTAGTTTGGACTTTTTCACATGTAAAGTAATTTATAAGTATCCCGTTTATTTCTTTATTAAAGTTCAATATTAAACCTTTATTGTTCCTATACTAAGCTAGGCACACAACTTACTCAAGCAGCTCAATAAAATAACTACCCCCGCCGCAGCAAACCTGCTAACTAAGCAAATTTTTATTTGCCTGTTTTGACAAAAGTCTATTTAAGCAACATAATGTTTAACACCTATGTTAACTGCTATAGGTAGGGTAATAAAGTGTGTTTTATTTAGTAAAATATTTATATTATTCTCCATAAGACAATAAACAAGAATGCTTTGCCTATGCTTTGAACCTTCAAAAACCCTTCAAGGCTTTAAAATGGTAACATTTTCTTAATTATTGCTATAATTCAAAATCCCAAAAGATGTACTTTATAAGGAATTGATAGTTGGTTTAAGTAAATCTAACTTATACACAATTAGTTTTTATATTACTGTATATGTATTTGAATATCGCACTGTTTTATGTAAGCTACAGTTGAGTGTAACAACCTTATTTGTTTACTCAACAGCTTACATAAAACTTAGTGCGTCTCTTGAGTTTGGCCACCCTTTTGTGACTGGTTAGGATTAGAAAGCTATGACAAACATATGAATACTTTACTAGACAAGCTCCTCCCCCATTTTTTGTCCCTGCTCACTTGGAGCTCTGGTCAGTCTGTATGTTAGAACAAACCCTTGAACCACTGGTCAATCTGTATGTGGCCGTTGAGACTAATTATAATTGTATGAAGCAGTTGTTATTTATATTTTAGGTCAAGGATTGTGATTATACCAAGATTCTCACAACACCAAATTAACTTTCCAACATGGTTATTGGTTTTGGGTCTTTTATTTTGAAGTTATAAATTTCATTACATCAATAAACTTTTGATGCTTAGCTAGTTCAACTTAGTTCCATTTAGACCCTTTAAAAAGTTGTTTGTGAAAGTAGGTCTTTTGCTTGTATATAAGTTCTCCCTATCTTTCTTTCTTTGGCTCCTTTCTAAGCGTCTTTGCATTCTCCTTATATCGCCACTGAGATCTTCTACTTCATATGTATAATTACCAGCTTCAGACACATACGTAATATTTCTTCTTTCAACTTTTTTGAATCCATATTTAAGTCTTTTCTTCTTTTTCACACCTTTTCTTTTTTCTTTCGGTGGTCTAAAAAATAAATTTTAAACTTTCTTATAACAAAAATAAATATATTATTTAGATCAGATAAGTGGACATCATCCTACGACTAAATTAGTTTGAAATAATATTTATGTGTTATAGACAAATGTTAATAACCTCAAAATAAACCATTAATGAACAGCTCTTGACAACACATTGCTTTGTTGTCATTTTGGCAATTTGGTAAGCAACCGCTGTTATAGATAAAAATATCATTATTCAGTGTGCAAAATCATATTGACAAGGATCATATTTTTTCTTCTATCTCTATCCAAACCATTTCTTAATTCGTATAATCTCTCCTGCCCTAGGGAATATTTAGTCAGATTCCTTAACTATACTCTTCCATGTTCACTGTGAAATACTGAGTGTTCATATGCAATTCAAACAATAGTCACAGCAATACTAGAGATCCTTAACACATTATGACCAACAAAACGCTCCTATTAATTTTTGACCTTTTTCCATTGCTTTTTTACTGTAATACTAAAAACTGTCAAAATATCTTTTGTCAGTTGAATACATCTTAATAAAAAAGCAGGAAATTACAATTTATAAAATTAATTTTTATAAAGGTCAAGAAGGCAGTTTACACAACTCACATGATATTTTCAGTAGCCTGACTATCATCCTTACGACCTGTGCTGCACGGTGAATGTGGAATAGATTTGGGTGGCTCATTGCTTGTCACGTAAAACATTTGCTTGCTTTTAGCTTCCTAATAAATCATCAGCATTCTACCATTATTAATAAGAAATAATAATTTACTTCTCTCCCGAAATTCTTATTTAAATTGGGTGTTTAAGCTCAAGAAGGAGGTCATAAAATAAAAACAATGGAGGAAAAAAGTATTAAGAAACATAATTTGAAGATTAGGATTAACTCTCAAAACTAACCTTTCTCGAAACTCGAGTCCATGATCTCCTCTTGATTGGTAGTTTGATATAAAAGGCAGTTTCAGATAGCTGTCATCTAACAAGTAGTATTTTACATACATCATAGCTGGCCGTAAAATTGTTTGATTTTTTTTAGTATCGTTGTAAGTTATCATCTCAATACGTGGAATTACTTCATTAGGCATAAACTCATATCTGTCTAATTTCTTTATCATTTTTAAGCTTAATTCATAAAGTTCTCCTTGGATATTCTGTGAATGCAAAAATTTTAATTCAAAATAAGAGGATACATTTTAAATAATTTAAATTAGCATTACAGTAGACGACTGTGCCAAATACTGGTGGTTTACTACTCTCTCGTTTGGATGTTTGGTTTGAACGGACACCCGTGTTACCACAAAACACAAATAGGTTTCATAGACTTACAGGGGTGTCGGTGTAACTTAAGAGACTCTCATACAAAAGTGCCAATTTGTCAATAGAACGATAAGTTAAGTCCACTGTAATTATAAATAAGTCTTATCTTGTGCACATAATGCATGGTTTTGATATGTATTAATTCATTTTGTTCTAACTTCCAATGTTTAGTTAGGACAAATCATTCTGGGATTTCTAAATGAGAGTGAGTCTCCTGTATTTTATAACAAAAATGTTCCGAATGTCTAAGTCTAAGTAATGCCATTTTGTGTATGTGAAAAATTTGACCAACTTAATAGACTTACAATATTGCAAAGATATTACCATAAAAACAAGTTCTACTCTTCTAAAATGTAAAACAGGTACCAATGCAACATTTACCATTCTAAAGAAATGTTGAAATACAAACTTAAAATCCTATTTATTTTTACGATCAACTCAAATTAATTCTCCATTAAAAATTATGAATCCATGGAAATCACAAAAATGATTTGCTTAGTTTCATAACAGTTTACATTATGGAGTTATTATAATTACAGATAAGAATTTATTATAGAAGTTATTATAATTAGAAGTTGATATGATTGCTCGGATGAAGTGGATGTGTTAAACCACAGAGATGTCAGATACAGAGGATACAAGCTTATGAGACAACCGTCTGCTTTTAGCTCTGGTATGTTGGGGCCGAAATGTACTAGAATCGAGCAAGGAAGAGCCCGAAAAGCGATGGCCATATTTGTACAGCAGTTATAGCGCACAGTGTGATCACTCTAGTACGAGATGGCGAGGGGGAAAGGAGAGCGGAAGAGGAGGACAAATAGAATTTGCTCTAGACACCAGCAACTGATGCTAAACACCACTTAAGTGTACCATTAAATGTATCATCTGTATCTGACTTCTCTGTGGATACACTTAATAGTTTTTTTAATTGGTAACAGAAAATGGTTTATACAGTGAGTCATATGTATCACGAACTAATTAAAAAATAAAATATGATCTGAAACCAATTTTAGCGAATTTCCCCTGTAGGGAATAAGCTATTACCGTAGTACTCATGGTAAGACCTGGACCTGGGACCGATTTACTTTTTCGTTTTGAGGTCCCTATAGACCAAAAACACCATCCGTTCAAATTCATATATATATATACATATATATGTGTCTGTTAGCGCGATAACTCGAACAAAAATCATCCGATTTTGATGAAATTTGATACAAACGTGTAAACCTACGTTTATTCGAATGAGTTCGCGAACCAGCATGATCAGACTATGGGAACAGGGGTTTATGGTGGGTTTTATGGGGCAAAAATTGGTTTTTCCCATTTTTGACCCTAAAAACTTAAAATTTAGCAATTTCTTTCCAAACCATTTTGTAGAGCTTAAAAAAACAAATAATTTAGTATATTGAAGCATTATTATGCGCCAAATGGTTACGGATAAAATTCCAAAAAACTGTAAATTTAAAATTCCCATGTTGTTCTTATGGAGAATAAGTAAACTGTTGTAGTTTGCTTGTTTATGATCATATTTTGATCAAATTTGGAAAATGCATTCATTACATACTAAACTATTAACATTAAAAAAACACCTTTTTACCCTCCCTGTTGCAGCAAACCTAAGTACTATTTAAACTAATGTTATTTAAATAGGGAATAAATGTGATATTTTTAAAGAGACATTTTAGTGTAAATCGAATCAGGCAAATGGAAATTCGCTTAGTCTGCAGGTTTGCCGCGGCGGGGGTATTTTTAGATGTGATTAAAAACCAATTTTATACTTACATGGCCTGACTCTGGTTTGAAGAGAACCAATGGTACATTATATTCTGTGGCTATCACCATGGGAAATCTTTGGGCAGTCCTTGCTTTTGTGATAAAGAAAGCAACACCGTTTTCTGGATTCTCTAGCCAATGGTGCATTGGCTCACCTCTCTTCATGGGACCAAAAATGAAGACTGGGTGCATTGTATCATCTTCCTACGATTGAACAAATACTCATTGCAGGTGTTTTAATGTTTTCAAAATATAATAAGATGAAAAGTGAAGAGTGTATTTGCAATAGTAACTCCCCTGAATTTCATAAGCACAATAGAGTATTTGGGTAGTGAAACACTTTTGAGCATAGTAAATTTAATCTCAAAGGTTGTAAGATCCATTTCTAATTTCTATGGTATTAATTTCTCCTCATTGGGCTAAGACTGGTAAGTTTTTTCACAGTCTTTAACAAAAAACACTGTTGTAGTAGTGAGTTTGAAAGAAAAAAGGTACTGGGAAAGAGGTGAAATCCATGCTAAGAGGACATCCATGCTTTCTCTGGTCTGGGTTGAAACTAGAAAGGTCGCAGTGAATATCCGTACAAACTCCTGAGTCAAGGGACAACTTCAGGGACCTGTAAACTGTAGGCTTATAGAAACTCGTCCCTTGGAGAACGAATCTCTCTCTGACTCGAAATAATTTAAACAAATGCTGGGATAAAGCAAATAAAGGAATAAAAACCTCCCACCATGACTGTTGATGCCGATGTTGTTAGCTTCATCCGATCGCCATACCAGTGACGTGTAAATATTTTTGTTAGTATAATAGTGTTAGTGATAGGAAGATAGCTTGAGAATACCCCTTGAAGATGCCACACAATCCATAGGGTGACACACAATCCATAGGGTGACACACAACATCTTACTCAAGAACATAGGCACAACAAAAAAAGGTAATCTAATATAATTCAAGTTCTTAAACCTGGGATGACCAAATAAATTAACGATTTAGAGTGTTACAGTCGAATAGTCGATACACCTTTACAGCCTAAAACACAAAATGTGCCGTAATCATTATGTATACTTTTAGTTTGTTTCTCTTAATCGATTTCCTCTTCAACCTACTATCTGAAGAAGACTACATCAGGACAAAATATCAGTACTATGTTTTGTGTTTTTTTGATGTGCATCTATAAATACACCCAGGACTCTAATTTTCTCATGTAATCTATCTGAACTCTATATTCCTATATATATACTTTTAGTTTATTTATTTATTTATTTATTAACGGATGCACCATTTTTACATGTAAATACAATAATCTTACATCAGAAGCAGAAAAAAAAATCACAGGTCAGTACAAGAGTAGTGAAAAAAAACTGGAAAACAAAACTTCAATACAAGAAATAAAAAAAAAAGTTTATTGGTAAAATATGAGGTTAGTTTTCATCCTTTCACAATATTTTCACTTTATGAAATTTTTGTCACCATCAGGTATGTAAAATTCATATATACTGTATATTAAATGATTTGAAATTGCACTGGGATGTTTCAATGGAATTATCCAATGTAGCACAGATGGTTGGGCCAACGTTGGTAAATTGTGGAGCCACACAACAGTTGGCCAACGGTAGAAATGTCACCTCTTTAAACTGTTTTCCAACCAACAATTGTCCAACAATGGCCCAAACATCCAAAAATACTGATGGCTCCAGACAGCACACTTTATCCCAGGGACATCCCATAGTAGTCCCATATGTCCTGAGAATGTCTCGGGATATGTGCGCTATCCTCAGGATATCCCGCAAAATCCCGGGACGAGTACGAAATCCACAGGATATCCTACAATATACCGTAATGTCCCGGGATTTGTAAGTTAACCTCAGGATATCCTGTAAAGTCCCGGGATATGTACGAACGCCATAGGATATCCCAGAATGTCCCATGACATCCCGGGACATGTACAAAATCCACTGGATATCCTGTAATGTCCCGTAATGTCCCGGTAACAAACTGAAGAAAAAAAATACTACCACTGATGAAATGTACAGTATATCTAAATTTAAATGTTCAACAAGGCCAATATATAATAATTTGTTTTTTTCACTAGTGCTTTCAGAAACTTGGTTTCCATCTTCAGGCTGTGTTTACACTAGTACAAAAAGTAAATATTTACTTAGTAAATTAATTTTAAACAAAGTTAAAACAGATGATTTAAAGGATATTAGAAAAATAAAAAATAATATTAGAAAAATTAATCTTTTGAATTTTGGATATGTTACAGTGTTGTTCTTGATGTAATTATTTTCAGTAATTCCGAATTTATAATTGGGCCGTCTTCATTATTTAACAAATAATTTTGGTCTGTTTTTTCTTTCTAAAAATAAGATTCCCACGCATTAAGATGTTGAGGTTTTATAATTTATTTTAAAAGTTTAAGGTTTCCGAGATTGAAAATATGTCTTGTTAATGTTATGGCTAGCAAGGGTTGACTTTACTTTACTGACATATTACTACCACTGAGTTCAGGAAAACTAGAGTTCTATCATAGTTGTGTGGAATGTGAATTTAATTCCAACTTTAAATTAATAAAACAACAAAAAACTAATTTTAATCATATAACAATCAATTATTACAGTGCTAATCTAATGGTGATTAAATAATCTATATTCAAATACCAGTATCCTCTCCAACTACCAGAAAAACAATTCAACTACTTGAGGCCTAAACAGATTAACAGAATCCTATATCCTGTAGTATCAAAAATATTTTAAGTATTGCGACCATTGCAACTGTCGGCTACTCTTTAACCACTTGAAAACACCCATAATCAACAAGCGCAGATAGCTCAGGAGGTAAGGTAAGAGGCTCACAAGGCGAAGGTACCAGGTTCGAAACCCGTCTGGGCCAAAAACTTTTTTCTCGTTTTTTTCTTCAAAATTTGTGTTTATTAACTATTTAATCAATTTACTAAACTTATAATTAAGCTTTTCATACTAAATCTATATTATTTTGTGTTTTTTATGTTCAGGCCCAGACCACACTTTATCCCAGGGACATCCCATAGTAGTCCCATATGTCCTGAGAATGTCCTGAGGACTACCCTGGGATGACCTAGGATGTCCCACGGATATGCGTGTGAGCTTATCCGTAGGACATCCCCGGGCGGGGACATTAGGCATTCCTGTGGATATCCTGTGATATCCCAAGTTGCCCATAGGACCACTATGGGATATCTTGCATATCCTGTCGCAATATCCGTGGGATGTCCTGAGGAGAAAGTGTGCTGTCTGGGGCCAACTAACCATAACACAACTGATATCCAACCAAAAAAAAAACAAAATTTTTTTGCCCAGACGGGTCTGGAACCCAGGACCTTCGAATTATGAGCCTCTTACCTTACCACTGAGCTATCTTGTGATTGTTGATAGAGAGAGTTTTCCAGTGGTGAAAGAGTAGCCGACAGTTGCAATGGTCGCAATACTTGCAACATTTTTGATACTACAGTATATACAGTAATATGATTCTGTTAATCTGTTTAGGCATCAAGTAGTTGAATTTTTTTTGGGAGTTAGAGAGGATACTGGTATTTGAAAATAGATTATTAATACTATTATATGATTAATTACTCTTTCCCCTTAAATTGTTGCAAATAAGTTAAAGAATATTAATTTAAAAAATATTTGCATTATTATAATTATTTTGTGAAAGCTAGATCCAGAGAATGAAAGTCGTGTAAACTCAACTATGGACCATCGTTGGTCCAACGGAGTGAAAAACGGTTGTACAACGGTTGGCTTGATGTACGATACCCAGCAATGCATATTAATGTATTTCATTAACAATGAACCAATGTTGGTCCACAGTTGTAAATATTGGTTGGCCTAACTACGAGATATACAGTTGGACAACAGTTGGTTAGTTGTGAAAGCTCCAACCAACCATCGACCAATTGGCCAACGTTGGCCCAACCATCTGTGCTACATGGGTAATGTTTTCTGCCACTGAGTAAAGCATACAGTAGAACCCCTCATATCCGGCCTTAGTTTTACCGGTCCTCTGTTTATCCGGCCCCTTCCAGGAAGCCAATATCAGAATGTTTTTCTCACAGCTTACAGACGTGTAGACGCAAGCATAGTCTTTGCGGCTTGAGCGTTTATACATTTTACTGTGTCACTACTCAGTTCAGCTAGTAGCCCTAACCTCTGAACAGTTTGTTGATTATTTCCAAAGCGGGATTAGTTAGTACAGTACATTAATATTGTTGTATTTCACAAAATGGATAAGAAAGTTGAGTAGTAATGTCATTTAAGTCCTAATGATCTTCAAGGCCAATTTATTGCCATTTTTATCTCCATTATTATTTAATAGTTTTTGTTACCTGGAATCATAATACTTGTATGTTTATTGCTTAACAAGTTAAACCACAAAACAATTTTTTTTTCTCTTTACAAACATGGTTATTCTTCCAAAAATAATACCATAAAACAGACTTGAGCGATACTTTTGACTGCATATATCGATTAAATATTATTATTAGGAACGAATTGTTATTTCCGTAGTAGGTTGATTTATCCGGCCAGGGGCTTGGTCCCGTGGTAGCTGGATATGAGGGGTTCTACCATTGACTATACAGTCAATGGTTCTACTGTAGTACTTATATAGGCAAAATTGTATTTTCCTTAAGAAGTATGAACTCTGATTCAATACCTTACCCCATATATTGTATCACAGCAAGATTTCTTGACATTGCATAAAAATAAAATACAAACAAACACAAAGTAAACATAGTTTACACTGTTTCTGGTGTCCATCTTATCTTGATTCTGATAACATAGTTTGTTTGATAATGCCTGGGGCATAATATATTATTCTTAATTTCATTCTGCAAAATAAATATTGTTGTCAGGCAGATTATAGTATGGTTAGACGGTTTATAATTTTATTCCTATAGCCTAATAATTTTACCTTTATAGTATAGGCTATCTACATTTAAACATTTTTAAGTAAAATAATACCATTCTAAATACCTTTTGTTTTCATAAAAAGAAACCTTCTGGTATTTTGGCTGGCTTTTTCACACATAAAACAGAGTAAGCCTAATTATATTATTTTCAAAGTAATTATTAATTTTTCCATAATGTAAATAAGACACTATTCTTATATTACTTTAAGGATGATGAGTATCCGATTTAGCACTAAACAAAAAAATGAACACTTTCTGATTAACAGAAAGTCTGAAATATTATCTGTATATTTTGCACTATGCTCACTTTTGTTCATTTAAAATTCTCAACCAAACTGTTCAACTGCTACCAAATGTTATCCCTAACAATCTTTTACAAATGACAGCAGGAATAAAAGTGAAAAGGATCCCAAGGCTAAAATAATAGGTTTTGCAACAAAAGCTAATACAGTAGCGGTTTTTAGCCGTACATCTTATCAACCAATTGTTGTGGACATAAAATGGAATATATAATTTGTCATTTTAAGCTAAATTTGAAAGTAAAAAATAAGATGATTTAGAAACTAGACTAAAAGTTGGTTTACATATTTCATCCAAGTTTAATCAAAATCCAAGAAATGTTATGAGAGTTATTGTGAGTTTGTGGGACAAACCTTGATATACAACAATTAGAGTTTATGAGGTTTGTGATATCTGGGGACCTTCTGGGGGGAAACAAAAAGTAGTATTCCCAGACCTAGGTCTCATAAGTCTATGGTAATATACTTCCCAAGGAAAAATGTACGGGAAACAAAACATCTTGCCCGCCATGATATAAAACTTCAATACAACGTTCAGAATTTTATGGTTTTGTATTGAGTTTAGTAAAAATGTTAAAACTGAACAAATCACCAGCTGATTTATGACACTGAGGCCAGAAGTCTCAGTTTTGGATCCTATCAAAACACTACTTTTGATCATGAAATTGCATTTAAAAAAACAGCTGATACATACCGGTACAAGAAAAATCAAAAAAGCTTAGGAGATTGTTTGGAAAAAAGGTTTTATGATATTTTGAAAACTAAATATTAAAGTAGGGTAACATAAATAATGGCAAGGATCAAATAAATGAGACGCTTAAGAAGTAAATAATTTTGTTTATAGGTAAATAATAACAAGAGAATCACAATAAGTTGAATATTTATATAAAGAAGGTACCTTAAATTAACAACACAAAATGTAGCCATTACTTACATTACATTTTTTGACTAGTGGAATGTACGATTATGGCAACTTTATTTTCCCATCCAAGCTAATCTTTAGTCAATATTCGACCAAAGTCAACCAAACCACATGGCTATAACATGCCAAGCCCAAACATATCGACAGTGCCAAGTATGTTTAACAAATAGTACATCACATTTCATTGATGTACCATCCAGTTTTCTTTGCAAGACTTTAAATCAAAAGAAAGTATTAATATACTGACAAGGAAACAAAAATGTTCATTAAATATAAGCACAACTTTTTATAAAAATCCTTACGAGCAAACAAATTTTTAAACTGAAATTCCATATTTCAAATTATTATTCTGACAAAAATCATCAATAGGTATTGCAATTACAGTTTTATTATAAGCTTACTGTATAACAAGCATTATTATTGTCTATCAATTTTGAAATTGAAACACAAATATTTATAAATTGAAATCCCACTTTAACATAGAGTAGATAGCATTAGGGTACTAATTCACAAAAAGTGAACACGGTGTAATATACAAATATAGAGAATTTAAAAATTATAGTAAAATTTAATTTGTTGGATACCGAGTCATGCCTCCGTAAACTTACTAACAAATGGCAAACAACAAAGGTTGTATAGTAGAAATGACAAAGCTTTAATATCAAAGGTTGGGAAATCACTAAAAAATATCTAACCATACGCAATAATAAGTTGAATCAATTTAAAAGATTATCATTATTGATAAATGAATGGAATATTTATAACGGCAGGAAAGAAAATTGGTTTTGCAATTATCTTGTATCTTGGCAAGAGGACTGGCACAATAGTCGAGGAACGTTGGGTTCAATTCCATTCTAAAACAATATCTTTTTCTCAAAGTGGAGGCTTGTGTTGTCGATGCCTTCTCATTTGCTGTTACATCTCAGTTGTTTATAATTAATAAGTCGATGGTAAAAGTTATACATACATTATAGAACCATTATCAATAGCTCATATTTTAACAATTATTTTTATACTTTCATTTAGAAACCCTTAACTAATATTGTCATTTGTTCGAGTTTCAATATTGCGAGTAATAACAGTAACCCAATATCATTATGATTGAATAACCGTAGATAATATAAATAATACGAATATACACAGCGAGCAAAGTAAAAGTAGAGTGGTAATATAACTTCACTAAGATAAGCTTATTACGAATTACAAATAAATCACAGCATAAGATAAATAATATAACTGAATATTGTAAGATACCATATAGTAAAATATATTGCATAGTCAAGGTTGGAAAAAATATAGAAGTAATAGGGCAGACTATTTATATCTTAAACACAGTGCCATGTGTTAAGCGTTGTAATTAGTTGGTAAAATCAGTCCCAAAAAAAAAAAAAACTACAATTTTGTGATCGAAAAGAATTGTATAGCACATTACACAATGGAAAAACAATATTGTAAAATGTGTTTAAGATTTAGGTTGTTTTAAACTATAGAAATTGAAATTACATTCTGAGATAGGCCTACATTAATTTCTTTGGTCTTTATTCTTCAAACTTAACACATAAAGTAATGGCATGATCTAATATAACCCAAAATTAATGGAGGTAAAATAGTATGATGGTGTTCAGGCATCCACTAGAGTCCATTATAATAATTGTTAATTAGTGGAATTTCATCAAATTGTAATGAGTTTAGCCATTTTTTAACCCACTTTGGTTAGAATAAAATATAAACATAATATAAGAAAAATATATTACAACAGAATAAAATGAACCACTTATGCTAGTGAGTGGGATCTGTGGATTTATAAAGTGTGTTTGTACAGATCACAAAACATAACTCTTTACGATACACATATTTTAAGTGAGAGTAGGGGATATATACAAATAGGATAGATAGCCTAATATATGAGAAAAGAACTCATCCACCCCATAGGCATTAAATTGTTCTATATTCCCTAATGTATTTATGAACAGTTGATGGATTTGTTTGGAAAGCTGCCTAAAACTGTAAGCATTAGCAATTGTACTTTTATGTGTTGTTCATATATTTGTTTTACATTGTTCATATAGGATTAATTTATATTGGTTTAGAGAGAAATCATAGTTTATGTTTAATTATATTAATTGGCCTGATCAACTCTAAAGCAGACCATGTGCAAATTGTATTCACTAGTTATAATGATTAGTCAGGTTTTAACTATCAACATAATTTTTCCCCTAAAATATAATCAAGGAATAAAAATCCATAGAGAAAAGTATGTCCATCAAAAATCATTTGTTTTATCTGAACTTGAGTGATTTCCTACCCAGAGTGAAAGACAATTAAATAATAAGGTGTAATGAATGCTCATTTGATAAGACATTTTCTAGGAACCATACCATGTGAGGGGCTTAAGATTGTAAAAATAGTCATTTATTTAAAGCATAGATTTAACAATATATAAATGTTCCATTCAGCTTAAAAATGAGATGTTGATTATTAACGCTGAAGGCTTAAACTGTTAATTTATAAAATGTTTTGTGCTTAGTACTATTTTACATTTACTTGCACCAAAACTATCTTAAATTTTAGGGCATCAAAAGTTTATAGAAAGTTATCAGTTTAAAATGTTTTTGTAACTGACTATCTCAAATAATTAATTCTTTTTGCAAAAGACCATAGTGCATTGAGTTTTGAGACAAACAATTCTTTCAAATTTTGTGATACCTTCAACCACAGTAACTGATACTAAGAAGCTAGTCAATATAAGGCACAGTCTTGACTAGAACAAGTACAGACAAAGTATGACAGTATTTCAAGTAAAAATTGTAGGAGAAAGGTAAATGAGGATGATGATTTTAGTTATTGTATTGGATAAGCTATGTAAAATTATAAATTTACAAGGTTTTATGTTAAGAACCATAAATCAAGAATGCATAACAACAATTGTACAAGAGATTTGGAAAAACAAAGCCTACAGAATAGTTGTAATAAGTGGCAAAAACTTTAAATCATGTCAAATGTCTAACATGAGGACTTCTCTAGAGGTTGATCGTTTTCTTCAAATTTTAAAATAAGTATTAATAAATTAATTTAACAGTATAGTGGTTTAAATTACCTTGTTACTGTCAAAACGATCCTTTGTAGTTTATAAGACTACAGCTGTTTCATGCTTCGAATGGAGCACATCATCAGGTCAGAAGAATGTCAAGTAGTCTTCATTGGATATTCGTCGTAGTGGAGTTTGTCAAAAGTTTAATAATAAATAGGTAACAAAACACAAAACACACGGAAACACAAAACATTTAGTATTGGTTGACCAGACGACAGTAACAACACACGTGACACGGCGCCGGCTGAGGGTGAGTCGGGACCAATACTAAACGTTTTGTGTTTCCGTGTGTTATGTGTTTTGTTACCTATTTATTATTTAACTTTTGACGAACTCCACTACGAAAATATCCAATGAAGACTACTTGACATTCTTCTGACCTGATGATGTGCTCCATTCGAAGCATGAAACAGCTGTAGTCTTATAAACTACAAAGGATTGTTTTTACAGTAACAAGGTAATTTAAACCACTATCTATACAGTTAATTCAGACAATCCAGAGGCCATCCCATCATGTAATTTAACAGATATTAATCAATGAAAAG